TACGCATAGTCGAAATTAGAAAATTGCAACCAGAAAACTATTTGATGTGTATTCGTGATATTTATAATGACAAGGAATTTGATTTAAATCATATCAAAGACGGAGTACATCAAGATGAAATACTACATTTAGTACGGAATTATAAGCCGAATAAAATAAAAACATCTGCCCTGAAGATAACGAAAGTGCTGACAGATAAACTTCCAGTTCATTGCGTGCCGTGACGTCCCCCACCCCCCGCAGAGCAGCGTGAAATTTATAAACAGATTTCGGAATGGTTAGAGAAACAAAGGATATGCCTTCATCCATTTTTTGCAGCAATTCCACTTTTTGTTTGATGGACATCGAAACATGCTTTTGCTTTGCAGATCCTTTGGCAGCTCCAGAATCAGAAATTCTTTTTGACATAATCGAAAGTTCAAGCTTACTTTTATAAAATTGCTCTAACAGTCTGCAAAAAATAACAAGCCGGATCCAATTAGAAGATTAAGGAACAAAGCAATCTGCAACATTAACTGAAATAGATAATTTTAGCTTAGCTTATACCATCCGTTATACATTAAACGCACATGCGTACACGTATTATGCACATGTGTAAACGCACATGCACGTGCGTAAAGGTATACACATGCGCTAGCTTTGAGGTCCGGATTAAAGACTTTTGACTGTAGTAAGAATAAAGACAGATAAATCAACGTGCTTGCATATTTTTGACAAGTTATTCAATTCTTGGTTGAATAGAATAAAGTGCACAACATAAATCACTAGCAAGACTGAGTTTGTTTCTATACTTCATTTCTATTGCTACAACATTTGAGTGGTGCTTTCTGATATGCTGGGGTAAACTTATTTCATCCAAAATAATGGCTTATCCATCTCCTCACAGTCATATCTGGCTGCAGAATCATTTTTCATTTCCAAAGCTTACTCTTCTAGTGTTTCTGGAAGCTTAGCTATGTCAAAGTGAAAAGGATCTGTCACCATTCTATAAATATTTTTATCACACAAGTTAAGAAAATAACATTTGAATTCATCAATGAGGTGCCACAATGATTTGATATCTTATTCTTAGTATCAGCATCCTTAAAAATCTCCTAAATGCGTCCTTCTTCCAGGATTCGAAATAATTTGAGAAAGCAGGAAAAATTGCTGGCTAAAGTTTTACATTCTCAGACTACTTATCAGTATACACTGTGATGGCATCTTGATGATAAATTATGTTAGAATTCCCACCTTGTAATTTCAAATTCAATGAGTTCAAAAAAATCAAAAATATTTTATAGATAAGCCAAAACAACTTGAACATTTGGCTTTCGGAATTCTACATACAATTCAGTTTGATTTTGAATTTCCAAAAACTGAATCACTTCATCTGGAAATTCAAATAATCTTGCCAGCATATTCCCTCTTAAGAGCCAGTGTATTTTCATGTGAAATAACAGTGTTTTATCTTCTGTTCCCAAATCTTCACAAAAGGCCATAGAAAGTCAACTATTTAAAGCACTCATTTTAGCACAATTGACAATTTTGATGCCTAATTTTATTTTATCATTGAGTTCGTTTGGAAGTCTTTTTGTTACCAAGGCTTTACAATGTATAACACAGTGAACAGCTGTACCATTGGGATATTTTTTCTCTAACCATCTGTACAAATCACAAGCGAGATCCAAGTATTGATCGAGTGCTGTCTGTGCATACACCTAACAGCTTTTGCCATGACAGTTCCTATTTGCAAAAGAATTCAGTGTTTGCTGTCATTATATGAATTAATTTTGAAAAGTCGTTAACTCTGTACAAAACAGCACCTCATTTTTAACTGCTTCATTTTGTATGAACGAATGAAAACTAACAGTTAACAATATTTTGCAACATCTGTACTCTCATCCAACTATTCTGCGAAAACATGTGATTCTTTAACAACCTGCATTAACTGGTTTTATGTCTTCAGTATTATCACCAATGTGACGTTTCACAATGTTGTCAGAAATCAGTACTTATGAAAGCCTTTGCTTACTTTCTAATCCAAGAACAATATCAGCTGCTTTCAACAGGGAAGGTTTGATGAGTGTGTCTCCGATAATATGATTTTTCTTGGCCTTTGTAATGAGTAGGTATAACTCATATGAAGACTTGAGCTCCTTTTCAAATGTCCAAGCAAAGGATCCAATACTATCCACTTTCAGACATTTCAAATTTGCACATTTTTCAGGAAACAACTTTTTGGGTTGTCTTATAACACACTATGTTTTGTCAACAAATGTTGCTTTAGATGAGAAGGTCTCATAGCATCATTGCTCAATACTTTGTAACAAATAACACATTGCGGCTAATCGACATCATTTTTCTGGACAGCAACAAAACCGTGTTTAATATAATCATAATTGTATTTACGTTTTTTTGGGGGGGGACAAGGGGGAAACACAACAAGTTGACAGTTTATTTTTGCATTAAAAGTAAACGTAACTTGTGTATCCAGAACTCGGACGTGATTTTTAACATCAGCTTAACTACTATTTTCTCCATGCACGAAAAGGCCTTAAGGGTGGATCTGCTTCATCAGATATTCATCGGCTTGCATATGCAAAAAAGTATTAAGGCTGAATGGATAACCCTGCAAATTAAATTTGAAGTATATTTTTCCCCTCCACGATCTGACGCAGCCATTCCTGCTTTGACAAAGTTTTCGTTTTTAACATACAAATTCTTTGGCCCAACTAAGGCACAAGCACAGCATGGCAGGGTAGCGTGGTGGGCATGAGTGGCAAAGTACTGGTAGCTCAGTCCCTCTAGATGTCGTTGTGCCTTCCTTGGAGGAGGGCAACCCCCACTTTAAAAATCAATCAATAATATAGATGAATGTTAGCATGTAGGAAAATAATATTACCATTTCTTTCAGCATAGCCATAATGCTTTGCTCAAATCAAATAACAGTTGTTTGTAACATTCAGAAGTGACTGTCTGATTCAGTTGTAAGAGCTTAAATTTCTTTGATGTTTTTCTATGCTCCTTCTTTCTCATGTGTACCAAACTCATAATTTTTAAATCGTGAAAATCGCTCTCTGCAAGTTTAATTTGATGGAGTATATTTATCAGCAATTTCCAAAAGCAAATGGTAAGTTTTACCTTCAATGTTCTTCACAATAAAACAATCAAAGTAAAATTTCCCCTAAATACACTTTTTTGGGGAGAGCTCAAAACTTGACATTTTTAAGGAGGTCTTTAAAAACAATGTCATATATTCATTATTAAAGCCTGCAATCATACCTTTTAAATCAAATACACTCACATTCAGTTACATGCAAGCAGCATTACTAACAATATCTTTCAGAAGAAGGTAGAATCATATTAAGTCTACAGGAAAATTCTATTCATTTGAAAAGCAAAAGCAAATACACGTTACATGCATTTAACAAAATTTGTCAAACAATATAATTTTTGTCATTACTTATGACCTTTTGCCAGCTTAATGCAATTTGTAGCTACCATTTTTGATAAATGACTAGTTCTTACAAGCAAAGAACTCAAATAGTACTTGACTGACATCTGCTTCAGTTTTGAATTTTTTTCTTTTCAAAAAATTTTGTAAGGAGAGAAACAAATGACAGTTGGAGCAAACTAGGGCTCAGGATTGACTATATTACTATACTAAGTAAGTAAGGACTTGCTTACTATTGGGGCTTCACTTACTATTTAGGTCAGATAGAAATATTGAACCTTACCCCGACAACCAACCAAGGGTCAAAAGTCTGACTGTGTCAATTAATGTACTGTCATTAACCATGATGATATATCATTAGATCCCTAGCCAGCAGATGTTTTAAAAGTGACAGGCAGGAATCTCAGTCTGGTGAAAAATTTCATTTACACATACTTGCTGTCTTTTGTTAAGTATTACACTCACCATTCCTGCCTTAGAAAGGGAGTTTTTATTATTATTATTAATTTTTTGGATTAGTGAACCAGAGGATTAGATTGTAAGTCAAATTTTGTACTGTATTAAATTTTTCCCTTATATTTATTTTATATGATTTCTTCCTAACTATATGCTCCAACTTTACAATAATAAATAATGGGCTAATCTTTGGAATATGGTAGCAGGTAGTTTGGCAATATTTTGGTAAGGTGATAAAGGTTACTAGGTAGGACTTTAGCGATAATCTCAGAAGTACGCAGTTCGAATCACAGATTATTTTGTCTGAGAGAAATGAGAGATCATGAGACATGTCATGTGACATTTTCCGGAAAATTCTGATCATGATTTTAGCTAATAAGCACTTAGAAACAATTTTGCTGCTAAAGTGCAGAATCGCCCATTTATTTGTTTGTCGCTTTTTACAAGAGTAAGAAGAATTGGATTTTTGTCAGTTTTCTTTGACTTTTTAAGTGAAAATATGTCGATGTGTACATGGATAAAATCAAGAGTGTGCGCAATGCCATTTTTGTGCAATTCTGGGATGTTAAGTGAAAATGGGTCGACGTGTACATGGATACTGCGTATGTGCAATTCTTAAAAACACGCGAAGCAGTGGGCGATTCTGCACTTTCTCCCAATTTAGCACCTAATCTTCGTCATGATTAAGCACTTTTGTTCCACAAAAGTTCTAGTATAAACATAATTCGGCTAGCAGATTGTTGGAAAAAATGTTGAGTAAAAAAAAAAAAACATGCCTTTACTTCGTGAAAACAAAATGTCGTCCAAACAGAAACTAGCAGGTTGCTATAGCAGGGTTGGTCGCCGTATTTTCACCAAAAAATCACCAAGTTACCATAATCCAAAGATTCACCAAATAATGAATTATCAAATTTATAATTAAATTTTTTTACTCAATGGATCGTGACTATGTCAATCATTAGCTGGTGCATATTCTGTTATCAACTCCACGATCATCAGCAACGCCTAGGGAATCAATACTGACCTCTTAATGTTATAGTAATGCAATGAAAAATAAGGATAATTTCCTTAGAAGCTCAAATTCAAGTGCATTTTAACAAATGCTTACCTTTTCAAGCTCTTCTAGAAGCTCTTTAGTTGAAGGTTTAGACTGGAAAAATAATAAATAAATAAATAAAATAATATAAATAATTTTTAAGATAAGAAATTTAAAAAAATACATACACACTTTATCTGTATCCTTATCCATATTCACACTCAGAGATTAATCTACCACATGAAAAAGGTAAATTCTCTCAATTGGAAGGGAGATCAAAACAGCCAGTTTTGTGAAAGCATACAAATTAAACAAAAGCAAAATTTATTTAATCATCTTAATTCATTATCACTAATTCAGAATAGCAAAATAAGTTAACTGAAATTACAACAGTACTATTCTGTTATCAAGGCTGCTTCCAGAAATGTATATATATATGCATGTACATACACTGGTGTGCAAAAATTAAGGACGAAGTCGAAAAATTAGCATATCAGCTGAACGAAGAGGCAGAGTGGACAGAAAGACCAATCAGGAGATTAAGTAAGGTGATGTACGGTAGCACATGCGCAGATATGCAGGTAGATATAATGGGGGAGTGTATGAGTAGTATAAAGCAGGTTGTTGGTGCAAGATCAGTATTTCTGGCAAAGAGATTGCACGCCGTACAGCAGTTAAAATCACACCGCATTGCTGCCTCAGCGAGAAATGGCGAATAATGAATCTGTTAGACGACATCTGGATGCTTTTACCCAAGGTCGAATCATTGGGAAGTTGGAGGAAGGCCGCAGTGTGCAAGTGTGGCTGCAGAGTTCGGAATTGCTCACAGCATCGTTTCACGACTTTGGAGACAATTTCAAACTACAGGAACAGCTATCCGGGGATTTAGTAGTGGTCATCCACGAGGAAACACACCCGCAGATAACCGATATATTAATTTACAGACCAGAAGAAACAGGCGGCAGACAGCGGGAGAAATCGCTAGACACACGACACAGGCGACTGGACGACCAATATCGCGTTTTACCGTGGCCAGAAGACTGCATGGTGGTGGTCTGTTTGCACGACGCCCTGTACGGTGTGTACCTCTAACGCCTGCCCATCGGAGAAGGCGTTCTCTGTGGTGAGGGAACACCGGAATTGGAGAGACAATGAACAGGGACGAGTACTCTTTACAGATGAGAGCAGATTCAGTCTGAGTAGCGATTCTCATTGCATACTCATCTGGAGAGAGCGGGGAAGCCGCAATCATCCCTCGAACATCATTGAAAGGGACAGGTATGGAGGTGGCGGTGTTCTCGTTTGGGGAGGCATCATGCTTGGTAGTCGTACAGACCTTCACATCTTCGACGCAGGTTCAGTCAACGGGACCCGTTATTGTAACAAGATTCTTTTTCTATATGTGCGTCTTTTTAGAGGCACTATGGGTCCGCAGTTCCTTTTCATGGACGGCAATGCACCATGTCATCGCACAGTAGCTGCCGAACAGCTCTAGAGAGTGAGGATATTGAACGTATGGATTGGCCGGCAGCGTACCTTACCACCAGTAACGATTCCGGAGCTTCGATTGGCGCAGCAAGACGAATGGGCAGCAATGCCTCAACAACTCATTGACACCATCATTCTCAGCATGGGCAGATGCTGTGAAACCTGCCTAGCAGTCAGGGGAGATCGTATCCCCTATTAAAGACCGGATGTTTCTTGCTGGACACCCATCACAGGGATGTTTCGGCCTTCAGTCGCATTGCGCTCCATGCTACTTTTTCAATAAAGCTTCTTTTTATCCCTCTGATTTCTCTTTTAGTAAGTGTTGCATACATTACTCATGTCCTTACGTATTGGGGATCTTATGGTATTAAATGTGTTGATTTTGAAAGCTTTTGTACAAAGTTATATTGAAAAAACCGTCTTGTCCTTAATTTTTGCACACCAGTGTATGTATCTGTGTGTGTACATGCATACACATATGCATTTTTAATTCATTGCATCTTTTTAAAATTATTAAAATTTTTTGTATTAAAATTTATTAGTTTTTTCCTTATCCATTTTTGATTTTGAAGTTATCCCATTTTGTAATTTTACATTTTTAGGCGATAACTTAAACTTCTTTAGTATTGTTAGTTGTTTTTACATGATTATTTTACACAGGAACTACAGTGTCAAATGTACTTTTTAGCAATGGCTTTTAAACATTCCTCTTCTTTGCAAATATTTTTTTAATTTTGCAGCACAATGCGCCCTCCTAACTCTTTTTGACTCAAACTGCTAATGATGATAAAGTCTCTGATACTAAAAACAAGCCTGGCTCCAGTATTTCTCAATTTTTGAGTAAATTAGTAAATTTAGTGGAATGCATCAAAGCTCTAAGATGAGGTCTAGTACTTTGTATAATTGAATAGTGACATATGTAGAAAATTATATTATTGATGTATTATATGTAGAAAATTATATTATTGATCAACAGTTAACAAAACTGAAAATGGGACAGATACTAGCCACTGAATATATATCTAAACTTCATTTTCATTCATCTCATCGGTGACCTTTGACCTTCATATATCAACATCAGTTTCTGTTCTGTACTTCTAGTTTTAATAGTTTTTTTTTTTTTTTTTTTTTGTAAACACACTGGGAATCACAGCTTTTTAAGTTGAAACACTGGTGTATTTGTTTATTTCTTTAAGATTTTTTTTCTTTTTATGTCTTCCATTTTTATTCTTTGCCCTTTTCATTATTAGAACATGGAGAAGTGTATCCAGCTCAATGTTTTCATTATTATTATTATTATTTTTTTTTTTAAATAGGAGAATATGAGAAAACACATCTAGCTGACTGTAGTAGATGTAATGTTGCCAAACTTCCATAATGGAAAAACTCAGACCAGTTGTCCTTTTTTATACTTATTTTAAAACTGAATATAGACTTTTTTGGTTAATTAAAAATTTACTGTAAGATCATCATAAAAAACTAAATTTCATTCAAGAGTTAATTATACATTACACTAAAACACTGAAAAATTTCTGTTTATAAAGCATAGTCCCGTGTTTAATGATACACTATATATGAACATTAAAAAGAAACCAATTACTGATAAAGTAATAAGGGGTACGACATAGATCTACCTCCTCATAGTGCAGCCTGGAAACACTTTGAGGGTAAATAATTTACAATTTTGGCATGCAGCCTTCTTTTTGGAGGTGATTAATGTTGAAGAAAGGCTAGACCTAGTGGAAACCATCCATATAAAGAGAGATATTGCACCAAGTGTTTTGAAATATTTTGCTTTGGATCCATTGCAGCTTAATATCCACCTATTTAGTGGCTGCACATTTTTACTAATAGTTCTTAGCTTGACTGTCATTTTGAAGTTGAGGCTGGTGTGTTTTCGAATCTTTTTACTTTTTATACTACCGCAGGATACATTGGTACCTCCTTTGATGGTGAATTAGTAGCCATCCATATAGCCCTAAAGCAATTATTAACTATTCATTATACATTTGGAAAGGCATTCTTTTCTGATTCTCCTGCAGCCATTCAATCAATTAGCTTTGTTGAACATCCATTAATACCTGAAATCTTACAATGTCAAGAATTCCTGAGAACTCTCACTTTAGAGGGGAAACAAATCATTGTCTAATGGATGCCTGGCCATTGTGGCCTTTAGGGCAATGAACAAGCAGACTTCCTTGCAAAAAGAGGTGCCAGCTTATTACAACATCCTAATACAGCCTAATTCTTACAGGGGGATTAAACTGTTTTTAAAAGTTTATTTACGTCTAATATCTTACAAGATCTTCAGACTTGTACAGCCCTAAACAGTTAGAGAATAATTCCTTCACTTATTCCCGACAGTCCAAGAAGCAACGCAGTTGCGGCTTTCTGTCTGTCTACAGGACATGATTACCGTGTCACCCATCTGCATTGCATAGGCATTTCAAGCGATCCTGTTTGCCCACTTTGTGATTCTGGAGAAGAAATGGACAGGACCACCTGCTTCAATGTGGGACTCTTCGTGGTCTTACTGAGGTGTCGAAATACTGGGAAGCAACAGCACTATTTAGGCAATGACTTCGGTCTTTTTGTTCTTAGTTTTACTGTTTATAAGAGTTTAGTTATTTGTAACTTTTTGCCTAGCCACTAGAAATAAAAAACTTAAAAAAAAAAAAAAAAAAAAAAAAAGAAGAAGAGGAAAAGAAAACCTTATAAAGTCTGTACATTTCATTCCAATCTAATAAATAAATAAATAAATAAATAAATAAATAAATAAACAAATCTTGAGTTTAAAAAATATTTTATGGGTAAAAGTATATTTACGGGTATCCCTTGGCGATTTGTGGCAGCACATGGATATCGAGTTTACACAATTCTTTCACTTGTTATTTTGGTTTGTGCAGCTGCAATTTTTGTGCAAAAATTGACACTACACAAAGCCAAAATAACAAGACAAAGAATTGCACAAACTCGGCATCCATGTACACATTGACCTATTTTCACTTAAAAAAAATCATCCCAGAATTGCACAAAAATGGCATTGTGCACTCCCTTTATCCATTTACACATCGACCTATTTTCACTTAAAAAAAATCAGAGAATTGCGCACCATGTACACATTGAACTATATTCACTTAAAAAGTCAAAGGTGCAGCCAACAAAAAAATATATAATCCCAATAAAATACATTTTAAATCAAACAATGAAATAACATAAAAAAGAAAATTCATCTTTGCACTACACAAAGGAAATATCCACTTAACCTTATTTACGAAATTTCAGTGTCTTCAGTCTGTCAAACAAAATTCCTTCACAGCATCCAAAAACTTCCTAAAATGATCTGAACTAGAATCTGTATACTGGTACCGCCACATAAATTCACAAAAGAAGAGTAAAAAATATCCTCCATAATTATGTTCGACTGTGCGCATTTCCGACGTTCGACCATACGCATTTCCTTCCTACAAATAAAACACCTAATAATGGCTACTAAGTAAACCTTCAATTATACACCAGTCAAGTAATGCTCTTTTCCCCTTTCTTTCCAAATCGTACAGAAACTTCAAATTAAACTTACCACATTTGGCCATTTTACCATCTAAACCACAAAACAAGCAATATACTTCCTGACCAATACACACCACAAGCCCTTACAAATTGACCGCAATCATGGGAACTACTCTTATATGTGCCCTCAGGTTGCCAAATTTCTTGCCATCCACAGTGCCATATTACTATCTAAATTTTTTGTCTACGTTTTTCGAACTTTTAAGTCTAAAATGTCTACAAAAGCCACGTTTTGAACACACAGTTTAAGCTAAAAATCCAAAACAAAAACAAAAAATTTCGATAGCAAAAACATAAAGTTTCTAACCAAAATATCTGACAAGAATCAATGTACACAACAATATCTTTTAACTTGAAAAAACCTCTACGAATTGCACAATCTAGGCAACGAAAGAATTCTATGAACTACGCACATCTCGCTTTAATAAATTAACACAACAACAATAAATTTCAAAGAATACCATTTACACCACATTCTGTTTAAACTTAAAAAAACATCTATGAATTGCACAATCTAAGCATTGCACACAAATCAACAAAAGAAACTAAAAAAAAAAAAAAAAAAAAAAAAACAATGAACTTAACATTCTACAAAATAAAAACAATAAAATAAAATGCACTTACCATAATACATACGTGAATAAAATTTCGCCAGTCACAAAACGTCTGTCAACAAAAGTGCCTCGATTTTGCTATATCACATGTCTTTCTGCGATTCAAAATTTCGAAAGTAACGATAAAAATTTCCCCCAAAGTTAACTTAATACTCAAAAACCACAATCCAAATCTTCTAAAACACTTTTTTAGTTCCAGTCGTATAGTGCAGTAATATGTGGCTGTCAACTCCGCCGACAGCCACATTCTTTAGCAGCAACCATTTGACTGCAAACCCACACAAGGCTATCAAAAACACCATTCTTCGTCCGACTTCTCATATCAGCTCCACATTTCAGACATGCCCAACTCCATTTTAAAAGTCCTGACTCTCACAGAAATTCCAAAAATGCCCTTCTATCTGTATAAACACACTCGTGAACAAAAGACTCGTTAACAACTCCAGCATCGTATCTTTTAATACTAAATTTACTTTCCACACAATCTAAAATACGCGACTGAAATCTTGCCACCACGTCTCTACGTCAAAAGGGTTGTCATACAAACAGCATCGTCCACCAAACCATCCCATAGTATGGAATAGCGGCAAAAACCAGTGCAGAACACATATCGCCACATTTGCAAATTACTTTACCACACATTTGGTGATCTTAGGCCGCATATAAGAGCAGAGCCCAATCATGCAACCGATTATGTCATAATAGGGTTTCCATAACATTCAACTGCTCAGGCTACCATATATGAAACAACTTTGCAATAATACAAGGGGTACCCTTCTCTCTACTCTAACTTATTCTATGCTTATAAAATATTTTTTCTGTTGGAATATTTATTAAAACATTAAAATAACACTGTTATTATAGGGAAAAAATTAGTTTTATTACTTATAAAATGCAACTCTGTTTTATGTTGGTGTAGATTTTAAATAACAACTCCCTGAATTTCAGCAATGATACAAGACGGTCTTCTTCAGCAAAAAAAATCCTGTGCCTGACTGCCCATAAAATTGATACAATTCTATTCAAAATCCATGCTAAACTACAGTCTTATTTGATATTTTATATTATTTATTAGCTAGTAAAAAAGAAATTTTCTTGTAATTTTTTTTTTTTTTTTAAATTAGGCAGATAGCAATATTAAATGCGTTATTCAATACTGAACACTACCTTTAATTAGTTCCTATTTTGAAAGAAATATTTTACAAGCAGTGATTTCAATAAAATGTTGGAAATCCTGTTGCATTAAAAAAGTGCACATATACAAAAGAAATAAGTGGTGTAGAAATATTATCTATAACTAAGACAGCATCGACCGAAACTAAAAAAGTGCTTTAGAATTCCATTTATTTAGTACAGATAGTTAACTAATTTAGGAACAAATTTCAAAGCTTTTATTTTTGTTAGAATTTCACTTGTTTAGTACAGACAGTTAACTAATTTAGGAACAAATCTTTTATTTTTATTCAAGTTCACTTAATAGAAATATATACCATAGCATACACTGAATAGGAGTTACAGATATTTAGTTGATACATTCAACCTTTATAGCTTAATGTTTAATTATTTGCAACTATAATTATCAAGAAAGATTAAGTGAACACCATTTTTAGACTAATAGAATAACAAATTTTATTAAGTGATTAATATAAATGGAAGATGTCACATTAATTAGTACTAACTTCAGTTAGAAGTTTGTGGGAAAGAAATTTATTTATAAACAAAAAACCAAATTTATTTTATTATTTTTTTTTTTTTTTTAAATTTTTTAGTCATATATATATACTGATGTGAAAAAAATCTGAATTTCGTTGATCCTGATTTGTGTACAAATTCAATCTTTACTTGTTGATGTATAAATAAACTACAGCTTCTGAGTTCCTATGACCTATTTCCACCCATTTAGCTAAACATAGATCAAGGAAACCAACATTGGAAGTTATTTAAAGACAAAACCTGGGTATACTCCAGTCTCACTAGGCAACAAGCATTTGGTGCTGGCAGTGCATCAAGTAGTTTACAAAACTACTAAAAAAATACAGCATGAAAAAGAATTCAGTTCATCATTTTCTATTAAAATTATGGTTTGGAAAGTGATAAAATATTAAAATTTTAAATAATGAAGTAGTTCTGTGAATTCCACATTACATTTAGTTTAGAGTATACTTATATATTCTAAAGATTATTAAGAAACACAAAAACGCGCTTGAAAAATTATTTTATAAGAGATTTATAGAGATTAATTAATAAGTAAGCGCTATTAATACGACAAAACAGCCAAACAGCACGAAATTTTTAAAGTAAAGAACTGATTTAAAAATCAGAGCAGATAAAATCAGTGAAAAGAGTAATGAATTAATAAATCATTTATGTTTATTATTTGCAAATTCCTATTTATTTTGGAAATGAAGAATTTAAAATCAACATTACCAATTCATATTATACTTTATACAGGACCTTTTTTATATAATAGAGACATAAAACAGGAAAAAAAAAAAAAAGACCAATTATTTTCAACGAATAAGATACACAAAAATTAGAAATGACACTTACCCGAAATCTTGAAAAGAGAACCCCCATATTCTACTATTTATTTCACTCAAAATAGATTAACTGTAGGCCGATTTTTGATATCCTAATTAATAAATCAATTTTAAAATCTGAACATGTGTATAAAATCATAATGATATCAATTACCGTCTAGTAAACAACTTTTTCCGCCACCATGAATATGAAATTTTACGCCGACCCACAACCACAACCAAAAGGAGAGAGCCACCTATCAAAAGCGAAACGTTTTCCCTAATTAGAACATGTTTGATAGCACATCAAATATAGTTATAGAAATAAAATTTTTAATTACTTGCTATTCATTACTTCAGATTCTTGATTCGGATCTAATATTTTTTTTTTTGGGGGGGGGGGAATCTTTTGTTCAAATTATTCATAAAAAAAAGGAAAATTTTATTCTGTATTCTACCTGTAACCGCCATATATATGTTTTGAAAACCGGTCATCGGTGCAGAAAGACTTAGCAAGTGCAAAACAATACATCTGTGTACTTTCTCTGTGTTGTCTTGTCGGCTTAACATTAAATTATGGATCATATTTATTCTGTTTTAAGGAGAATTATACCAAGTGCATCAACAAATACAGATTGGTAAGCAGTTTGTTAATAAGTGCTACTTCTTAGGAACAATTTCATCGTAAAGCGATGCATAAAAACTACATGCATAAACTCCGTGTGAGTTCAATTACAGTGGTGTACATTTCTTTTCAGATACTAGTATTTTTGAAATTTATGTGCGCAGATTTCGTGGTAAATATTGAAATAGAGACTTCAAATTTTTATGATATATTTTTTTTCCTATTTAAGCCTTGCTTATTACAAAATAAGTACTATCAAAATAATCCTTGTAATAAAATAATTTATTTAGAAAACGTTAATCAGAAAAGTCACTCGAAAGTTTTGTTGAGATGGTTTGGCAAATGTTCTTTATTGTCATTATTTTTTTTTTTTTTTTTTTGTTTAATGAAAGTACATAACATGAACTATTGTCTGTATTTCGATATTGTTATTTGTTTTGCAAAATATATTAACCGTTTAAGTCCCAAGCAGCGCGATCGCGCTGTTAAGATTTTATGTCGAGAAAACCCAGTACATTTTGAACATTGTGGACAAATTGAGAAACACTTATGCAAGAGTGCGTCCGATCGCTTTGCCAATTGCAATAAATGTGATGAGAAAAAGACTTGAATCACGTTACCTAACAAATACAAGAAGCGCTATTGCTCCGATTGAGATTCATCGATGTAAAATAAAGCGCTGTTACGCTGCTTCGTATTTCTCGACATAAAATAAAACGAGCGCTATCGAGCTGCTTAGGTCTTTTCATACTCATTTAGAGGAAGCGCGGGTGTGCTGTTTGGGATTTTTCGACAGTGGTTTTTCAATACCCCCAGGACTCAAATAATTAACAGTTTCCTATCAGAAATGAGGCCCAGGTTAATCTTTGGATCATCGTAACTTGATTTTTTGGCGAAAATTTGGCGACCAACCCTGCTAGTTTTTGTTTGGACGCCATTTTGTTTTCACAAAGTAAAAGCTTTTTTTTTTTTTTACTCAACATTTTTTTCCAACAATCTGCTAGCCGAATTATGCTTATGCTAGAACTTTTATGGAACGAAAGTGCTTAATCATAACGAAGATTAGGTGCGAAATTAGGAAAAGTGCAGTCACAAACTGCTTGCCGTGTTTTTAGAATTGCACAAAAATGGCATTGCACACACTCTTGACTTTATCCATGTACACTGCTAAAGTCCTAGCTTGTAACCTTTATCACCTTACCAAAATGTCGCCAAACTACCTGTTACCATATTCCAAAGATTAGCCGAGGCCCACTAGTGGCCAAGTGGTAAAATCACTGAACAGTAGTAGTTCCAATCTGGGTTCGATTCTAGGCAAAAGGGCTGGCTGCATGGGCATTTTTGTGGTTTTTCCCATTTGCAGTATGTATAAATTTTTCTTAGAAAGTTCTTCATGAAGGCATCCCTTCCCTTAAGCAAATAACTCTAGAATGCTATTTAACTAATTTTGATGTGATAAAATGTTCAAAATTGTATGGAACTTTTGAAAGGGAACTAGAAGTTCTGGAATACATTCCAATTTAACACCAAAGTGCTCTAGATTTATCTAATGAAAAAAAATGACAATAATTCTGTCTCTTTTTTTCAATTATCCTTTAGTTTTTAATTTCAGTATTAGTCTGTAGCATGAATCTCATGGATTCTTAAACAGTTCAGGAATTGTGTTTGTTCTAGAATTAATAATACATTCATATTTATTTCTTTATTTTTTAGCCATATATTGGATTTTCAGTAAGGTATTCAGGTACATGTAAGTTTTGCCAGCGACCAAAGCACCAAAGAAAAAATGGGCTAATCTTTGGAATATGGTAACAGGTAGTTTGGTGACATTTTGGTAAGGCGATAATGGTTACTAGCTAGGACTTTAGCAGTGTACATGGATAAAGTCAAGAATGTGCACAATGCCATTTTTGTGCAATTCTGGGATGTTTTTTTAAGTGAAAATGGGTCGACGTGTACATGGATACTGCGTATGTGCAATTCTTAAAAACACGCGAAGCAGTGGGCGATTCTGCACTTTCTCCCAATTTAGCACCTAATCTTCGTCATGATTAAGCATTTTTGTTCCATAAAAGTTCTAGTGTAAGCGTAATTCGGCTAGCAGATTGTTGGAAAAAATGTTGAGTAAAAAAAAAAACATGCCTTTACTTCGTGAAAACAAAATGTCGTCCAAACAGAAACTAGCAGGTTGCTATAGCAGGGTTGGTCGCCGTATTTTCACCAAAAAATCACCAAGTTACCATAATCCAAAGATTAGCCAAAAAAGGTTACCTAATGCAATACCCCCCAAAAGATAATACTTACGTTTTATCGCAATCACCTTAGTAGAAGTCTTCGGAAGTAACCAAATTCTGGCAACTGTGCATATAGTGGTGCTTTAGGTACCCATATCCATTGTAAGTTGCAATCCAAAAATTCACCTTTTTCTTCTGAAAAAAAAAAAAAAAAAAAAAAAAAAAAATCGTTAAATTTCATCAAAGAGTTGTGCTGATACGTAAGTACCAAAAAGAAACATCACTTTTCAGTAAAAGAATTTGAACAGAAATATTTTTTTTTAAAAGATTATTTTGCAAACTACAAGTAACTTATTACTGTATTGAATGTGATTTTCTTTCCCCCCCCTTTTTTTTTTTTGATAGTTTTTCACATTGCATCTGCATTTGGCTTCTGGCAGTGCTTGTATCATTTCATGACCTTTTTTTTTTTTTTTTTTTTTTTTTTTTTTGCAAATTTGAATGGAATCTAAAATACCCCTTAGAAGCATGCGATAGGTTAAAAATTATCATCGCATTGAATCCGGGGGGGGGGATTTCTTATGATAAAATATTTAAATTTTATATTATGCCCAAATTTTTTTTTTTTTTTTTTTTGCTTTTTACAGACATAAATGTTTAAAGAGTATTTGGGCTAAAGTATTTAAATAACAGCACATTTTTAGAATTTCCAATAGACAGTCTCGTGAGCCTTAGATAAAAATGTTTTATTCCTACAGTGTTGCCACTGCTTGCTTTGAAATCGTTGAGTTTTTTTAATAAAAAATTTACAAACTATAAAATAGACAGTAAAACATATTCTAAATTTGAGCTTCTATGTGCCCATGTTTGGGTGGAGAACTATGTTATTCAAAATTTGATGGTTCTGGGTATTGTTTTTTTTACAGTGCAAGAAACATACATGCATTCATGTAGATTCTTTACTACTTAGTTTCTGTAAATATAATATAGAACGATAATACTTAGTGGCAACAATTTGAAAAGTAGAATAGCCGTTTATAGTGATCTGACGCAAAATGCCATTTCGAGACTAATAGCCCTTTTTGGCTAATGCCTATTTGGGCTAAAAAAGAAAGAGAGATCTTGTAATTTTTCTGACTTGGCTTCTGATTTGCTGTATCGTTTGGCAGTAAATGCTGCCAAACTTAGCAGTTAATCGCTGGTTACCAGTAAACTTGAATGGTACCATTATTCATAATAATAACTTATTTTTCTTTTGTGTTGCTTCCAGGATAACTGAAGGCAAAGCTGTCTTGTCTGTTTCAAGTAGGAATACTATTGCTTTTACGTCAACAACTGATCTGCTTGATGGAACTGCTAAAACAACAAGAATCCACGTATATGTTGCTGATCTCAACATGCCATGGGAGGCATATAAGTAAGTTTAACCATATTGAAGGTAGACTTTTCAAATGAAAAAATAAACAGATAAAAAATAAGTAAAGCTGTAATTTTTGCTAATTAAGAAAATTTTAAGATACCTTTCTGTTAATAAGGTGCCACCTAGTGTTAAACATTAACCCAATAAGGTGCCACCTAGTATTAAACATTAACCCAAAATGTATCTAGATGGCAGCAGCTCTAACAATACATAAAGTTTTGTGTAATGAATTTGTTTTACAAAATACAAAATTGATATTCGATACATAGGAGGCAGGAAACTATTATTTTCATTTAACATTATCGAAAATACATTTGTGTCTTTTCATACATCTTATAAATTCAACAAGGTGCTAATTTAGATGGTGGCACCTAGTGCTGCACTGATGGTTGTATACCATCTGACCAGGATCACTAAAGTTGTATGAGTGATAAACTTGTGGGTGTTGCTATTTATTAGCTGCTAGTTAATATGATAAAGCAAGTAGAAATCCCAGAAAGAAACTTCTTGGATTGATGTCATTCTTTTCACTTATTTGCAATGATGTCAGCATACATTTATTCATGACACAATATCATATTTTCCACTTTTACCCACATTTGGCAACAGCTGCTGATTAACAGAAAAGTACCAAATTTAATATGGGATAGGTCTTGCAAATTGTTATATAGACCTCTTAGTAAATTCTTGGTATCAATGGTTAGTTTTCTAATAAGTTCTGAGAATGTGAATTCATGACTAATATTTTTGGTTGATCTTTACATTATGGTAACTTGGCGATTTTTTGGCAAAAATTTGGCGACCAACTCTCCTACAGCAACCCTCTATTTTTTTTTTCCCACCGCCATTTTGTCTTCACGAAGTAAAGACATGTTTCTTTTCTTTTTATCTACTGAACACTTCTTCCAACAATCTACTAGCCGAATTACACTTATGCTAGAAATTTTATCTAACAAAACTGCTTAATCATGACAAAAATTCACTGCAAAATTGGGAAAAGTGCACAATATCATACTCCTTACGCGTTTTTCAAAATAACATATACACATAAACCATGTACACGTCGACTTATTTTTACTTAAAAAAAACATCCCAGAATTACACAAAAATGGCATTGCGCACTCTTCACTATATCCATGTACACTGCTTTTTTCTCATAAATTAGAAAAATTTCACGAAAATACATGACAATTTTCTGAATCTTTAAACCCGGTAAAAAAAACATATATGAAATTACCTGATCGCGAAAAAGTGTATACCCTTTCCACATATGAACATTTCCACATATAAAATAAATAAAATATCCAAAAACTTTTACCTCTAAATCATCTATTATATTATAAACGTCACCAAAGAATTCATACCGCAAGCATTACAAATAATTAGTGTCAAATATTTAATAAAATTCACAAAATAACTATCATTTAATTAAAATATCACTAAACCATGTACACGTCTTATTTTTGCTTAAAAAAAAATCCCAGAATTGCACAAAAATGGCATTGCGCACTTTCTTCACCATATCCATGTACACTCCTTTTTTCTCATAAATTAGAAAAAATTTCACGAAAATGCATGACAATTTCTGAATCTTTAAACCCGTTTAAAAGAACATATATGAAATTACCTAATAACGAAAAAGTATATACCCTTTCCAAATATGAACATTTCCACGTATAAAATAAATAAAATATCCAAAAACTTTTACCTCTAAATTATCTATTATATTATAAACGTCACCAACGAATTCATACCGCAAAACATTACAAATACTTAGTGTCAAATATTTAAATTATTTCCATGCACGTTTACTTCAACTAAAATGTATACCAAATTCCTACAAACATAAAATTCACAAAATAACTATCATTTAATTAAAATATAATTAAATTCAAAAAAACTACTTAAAATATAAATAAGCACATACATTAAATTAATAAAAATTAGCTTACAATCCTAATTATTTTAAACAAAATCATTGCTAATAACAATTTTCCCAATAATACCAAATTACTTTACTTCCACCTTACATTTAGAACAATGCATAAAAATAATATCCTCAAATAATTAAAAATACTTATTTACCTAATCTTCTTCAGAATCTTGATTACGTGTCCGATAAACTTTTCTTATTTCCTCCGATAAATAAAAAGCAAGCGTATGTGAGCTTGTATCAGGATCTTTAAAATCATACTTATAGTTCACAGCAAGGTACCAGGTAAAATAAATATCTTAATAAAACATCTTTATTTCTATCTCACACAACCTTAAAGAAACACTTATTACTACCCCTTTCAATCCCACTAAATACCCATTTCGAATTCACTTTAGTTAGGGCCATGGGATCCAAAAATTAACGAACGCTGTTTCACATAACACAGAATAAAGCCAAATACAAAATTTCCAGATTTTTTCCCGATTTCCCCCCTTTTCCGATTAAAGAACCGTAATTCGTCCATTAATATCACATGACATATCCCATGATCTCTCATTTCCCTCACACAAAATAATGCGTAATCGAAACTGAGTACTGCTCACATTATTACCAAAGTCCCAGGTAGTAACCTTTATCGCCTCCAAAATGTCGCCAAACTACCAGTTACCATATTCTAAAGATCAGCCATATTTTTTGGTACTTTTCCGTTTCACTGGTGCAAATCTCGCCAAGCACACTTTATTGGCGACAACACACAGTATACACATAAAAAACCTTAACAAATGTTAGTTCTAAGAATTTTTTATTTTGAAGGCATAAACATTTTAATATTTAAAATTTTATAAAAAGACAATAAATATGTAAAAAGGCATTAATTTATGAATTTACTATGGTTTCTTCATGGTACAACATCCTGAATCACCCGGTTCATATCACATGACCTCAGGTGATCTCATCTCGCATAATTCTTTGCGTAAACTAAGCTACAAAAATCTAATTCTCTCAGTAATTATCTACATTAATTTCAAGTTAAATTTTAATACAGAATACAAGTTTAAATGTAAGAATTATTTCAATTCGTATAAATTGCTTATTCAGAAATTATGTAAAACCACAGTGCTTTACTTCGCTAGTGCATTTTCATTAGAATTGATGAATTTAACCCTTGATTTGTACCTTTTCTATATTTTTGCCTTTGGGTGAGTGGTGTGATTGCATACTAATTGATTTAATTCTCATGAATCACCTTAGGGCATAAAATTGATCTATCTGGTCAAAATTCTATGTAATTGTATGCCAATATTGAAAGAAAAAAATCAATCTGATAAGAAATGGCTGTGACTTGTTTTGAAAATGAGACGTAAAAGGTTAGCAGGAAGGATATTCCATTTGGCATTGGTTGTTCCATTTTTGGCAACTTTATCTCTTGTGCCGACAAAATGGAAAAGTATCCATTTCTCTGTTCAAAAAGTTCATGGCAATCTTGTAGGGCAGTTAGTTTTATTTGAAATATAAAAGAAAAAGGATTAACTAATCACGGAACTACTCTGATATGCGCCCTCAAGTCGCCAAATATTTTTGGCGAGAAACTTTATGCTGCCATATTACTATCTAAATTTTTTGTCTACATTTCGAACTTTAAGCCTAAAATGTCTCCAAAAACACGGTTTTCGCACATGCAAAAACTACGTTTTGAACACACGATTTAAGCTAAAAATCCGAAACAAAAACAAAAAATTTAGATAGCAAAAACATAAAGTTTCTAACCAAAAATATTTGACAAGAATCCATGTACACAGCGACATGTTTTAACTTAAAAAAAACATCTACGAATGGCACACTGTAGGCAACGAACGAATCTACGAACTACGCACACCTCGCTTTAATAAATTAACATAACAACAATAAATTTCAAAGAATACCATGTACACAGAGTTCTGTTTCAACTTTAAAAAACATCTACGAATTGCACAATCTACACTAAAAAACAAATCAAGAATATAAACTAAAATAAATTTCAGACAATTCAAAAAACAACAATAAAAACGGAAATTCATACCAAAAACAATGATTATAACATTCTACAAAATAAAAACAATAAAATAAAATGCACTTACCATAATGAAAGCTTCTTTTAAAAGCAGAAATATCTTTCCCCCCTATCTTCTCAGATACAGAGCATACAAAGTCCAAAATACATTCGTTAATAAAATTTCGCCAGTCACACAATGTCTGTGAAGAAAACTTCCACGATTTTGCTATATCACATGCCTTCCTACGATTCAAAATTTCGAAAGTAACAATAAAAACTTCCTCCAACATTAACTTGCTACACGAAAACCAAGATCCAAACCTTAAACTCCACTGACACCCACATACTTTATTAGCAACAATTTTACTGCAAACCCACACAAGTCTATCAGAAACACCATTTTTCGTCCGAGTTCCCATATCAGCTCCGCATTTCGGACACGTCACACTTCGTTTTAAAAGTCCCGACTCCCACAGAAATTCTAAAAATACACTACGATCCCCATAAATACATCCGTGAACAAAAGACTCGTTAACAACTCCAACATCGTACCTTTTCATACTAAATTTAGTCTGCACATAATCTAAAATACGCAGCTGAAACCTTCCCACCACGTCTGTCTTTCATCTCAACACAGGCCATTTCAAAACACACGCGACACAAACCAACTAGCAATTAAGAAACTACTCCACCAAAAGACTTTTCAACGTCAACATGGTTGCCACACAACACGTAATTGCGCCAAAAACCAGCGCAAAACACATATCGTCACGTTTGGTGAAATTACGGCGTTTATCAGAGTTGTACCCTAATCACTTTCAAAGTAATATTCTGTCAGAACTTGCACATTGTTGCAATACTACTGACATTTCTTTTACTACTAGTAATATGTGTCTTTTAATATCTGTCATATTCTGGCACTTGTGTCATTTTAAGTAATTTTAACTGCCTGAAAACCTTGGTATTATATATAGATAAACTCAGTGGTTAAGAAATATGGCAAATGGCTTGACAGGGATCTGTTTCTCA